AAAGGGCAAAGCTTCCAAGAGGAACTTCTGCTGAATGCAAGAAAAATGCACAACACATGTTGTGTGAAAGCTATCGGCGCTCGGGCTCAGGCTTCAGTTCATGGGTGTCGTTCAGGTTCAGTGGCCGCAGCCCATCCCCTTGAGCAAACCTTTCCCTGGCCCAGCAGATTGCTGGCAACCCTCGCACAGTTCATAGGGACATAGTCTGGCAGCACGTGTGCATTTCCAGGTCAGCGATTGCTCAGTTTGGCTTGTGCTGCTCTGAGATTCCAGATTCATCAGCTATTGGCTTTCAGAGCTGGTTTCCTGCAGAAGACAGATCAATGCCAAGTGACTGTGATCAGTCCACGGACAATTAGAACCACAGTTTCAGCCCCAGCTATGTGCAAAAAACATTTCAAGACCATTTCTAGAACATTTTTGATTTTGTCAAAAGCTGCCTAGGGTGGTGGGGCTGAATCTCAGGAACATCTTGAACCAGTCACCCCATACTGGGACCAGTAACCCGTCCATGAATGACCATAGAAGCCAGCACATTTCAAGGCCATCTGAATGCACCTGTGGAATTTAGGGTAGTTAAAATAGTTGGTTTTTATGCAGAAATTGATGCTTCTGTGGACTAGCTATTGCCTCTGGGGGAGGTGGATGACCTACCCCGACAGCAGAACCTTCCCATTGCTGAGTATCTACACTGATCCACTATAGCAGTCCAGTCATGGTGTCTCAAGTGTAGGCAAGCTCTGAGATATGACATTCGGTGACACCCCCCCCATCCCTCCTATTCCTCACTGCGCTGAATCCCACCAGCCCATGCTCACCGGTCCCGGCTCTCCTACAACTCCCCCGTTCTCTCGGGGTTTCTCTCTGGGATGAAGAAGCAGGTCCAGGGTAACTTCCCCTCTGTCTGGGACCTTAACTTCCTGGAACATGGAGTTCCTGTCTCTGTGTTTTAGGAACCCCTTTGCTGAGCAGTGTCTGGCTCTGTGTGTTCCCAGCAGAGATGGGGAGAGTTAAATCCCTCCTGCACCTGGGGAGCTGCCCCCAGCCTTTCCCTGCTGTAAAATGGGCTGGGGTTAAAGTAATAGAAATGTCCCATGAATTCCCTGATCTCCCTTGTTTTCTTTCCCCTGAGCAGGGTGTCCAGTTTCGAAACCTGATGTGATCTCCCAGCTGGAATGAGGGGAGGAGCCGTGGGTCCTGGATCTCCAGGGCTGTGAGGAAGGAGAGATCCCCAGAGGTGCCTGCACAGGTGAGGGATCATTAAACCAACTCAAAGCTCTCAGTGCCTGAAGGAAACAGCTGGGAGTCCCTAAAAGCCTTGTGAGCTCTCGGGGTTCAGGAGTATCCCCAGGAAGCCGTGTATCCTCAGGGCAGCTGTTGCTCATGGCTTTCTGATCATCCTGACTGACACCTGGCAGAGCTCCCTCCCTGAGGGGATGTGGAGGCAGAATTGTTCCCCTCCTCTCTCCCCTATGGGGAAGAGTTGTGGAGAATCCAGCTACTAGGTTTCTTTTCTGTCTCTCCAGCTCTAATTTTGGTTTGTTTTCCCCTTTCCATCCCTGTGTCTGAGGTTTCTCTCTCTGTCCCAGCAGGTGCTGGGATGGTGAGTGAGGAGAAGAAGCAGAATGCTCAGCAGGAAGATACTGAGCAAGTGGCACCACATGGGGGATTATAGCACGGCTCCATAGGGAATGTGTCCCGGCATCGTGTGCAGGGCAAAGCCTGTGAGAGTCAGTACAGGCCAGAGAGGGAGCAGAGAAACTAGCCAGCGGAGAAAGTGGGTAACTCCATCAATTGTCAGGGAACTCACCAGGACCTCCTGGAAACCACAGCCCAGCCGAGAATACCCACAGGAGAGCGAAAAAACACATGCACTGAGTGTGGGAAACATTTCACTAAACACTCAGGCCTTTTAAAACATCAGAGAATCCACACAGGAGAGAGACCCCATGAATGCAGTGAGTGCTAGAAAACCTTCACTCTGAGCTCTACCCTTAGTAACCATCAGAGGATCCACACAGGAGGGAAACCCTAGGAATGCTGTGAGTGTGGGAAAAGCTTCACTGTCAACTCAGACCTTATTGGACATCAGAATATCCACAAGGGAAAGATACCTCATCTGTGCTCTGAGTATGGAAAAACATTCACACAGAGTTCAGCTCTAATTACACATCAGAGGATCCACACTGGAGTGAGACCCTATGAGTGCCATAAATGCGGAGAAAAATTCAGTGTCAAGACAGCCCTCAATACACATCAGAGGATCCACACGGGAGAGCGCCCCTATGAATGCCGTGAATGCGGGAAAGTGTTCTGTCAGAAATCAACCCTAATTACACATCAGGCAAGGCATACAGGAGAGAGACCCTATCAGTGCTGTGAGTGCGGGAAAGGCTTCAGTGTGAGTTCAGACCTCATTGTACATCAGAGAATTCACATGGGAGAGAGACCTTATAGATGCTGTGAGTGTAGGAAAAGTTTCACCCGGGGCCCATCCCTTACAAGACATCAGGGTGTTCACAGGACAGCGACGCAGCGTAGAAACGTTGTGTAGGGCAGAGAAAAGACTTTTTTTAAAAACACATTTGCTGATTCCCACATAGTGACCTTGTGGTTTGTTTGCACCATTTGTGTCCCTCTGTTCTCTCAGCTGCCTCGTGTGTTGCCCACTTGTGCCTTTTACAGGTCGCCCTTCTCTGGGGTGAGTCCCGTGCTCCTTTCTCCTGTGAGTCATTGGAGTATGTGTCCTTCCAGCAAGGAGTTTCCATCAGCCCCAGGTGGGGGAAATTGGGGTGACGACAAGTCGCCTCATTGATTGAGAATGGTCATGAGGTTTGTCTCCTGCTCGAGGATTTCCTTGGGCGTCGGCGTGCTGGAGGTAGCGATCCTGATGTAAACACACCGCTCTGTTTGCAATGCTGACATAGCCCGGGCACAGGGGTTGGGGTTAACTGGCATCTTCCCCTTTGGCCTGTCCTAATGGACACCCATTTTCCTGGTCTGGACAATCCCTAAGCATCACGTTTATACTGTCACCCCAGTAGCAGATGGATTGTTAGTCACCAAGTCCCCCCTTTGCTGACAAATTGTCTCCTTCCCAGTTGTGCTCACGCTGGTCCAGATGGTGCTGGGCAGCAGGTATTTAGTGTTTTACCATTTTCCTTATTTAAAATACATTTCCATGTAACAAGGAGGAGCAGGAGTGGGACAGATGGATCATTTCAGCCTAGGGTGACCAGACAGCAAGTGTGAAAAATCGGGACAGGGGTGGGGGGTAAAAGGAACCTATATAAGAAAAAGATCCAAAAATCGGGACTGTCCCTATAAAATCGGGACATCTGGTCACCCTATTTCAGCCTCTGCGAGGCCGGAAGGCAATGAGGCGAGTCGGAGGGATTCCCTCCTTCCCCTTCACCGTCACCATATCTGCTGATTCCAGCAGCGCTGGCCTGTGTCTGAGGCACAGTGGAGTTTATCCACCTGTATTTTGTCCCGCCCTCCCTCCCAGAGAGTCTCTGCACTTAGGATCAATTTGATCCTGTATCCAACTCATTAGAGCTGGAGATGAGTGTCCCAGGCCTGGGTGGGGAATTCCAATGGTGCAGGTGGGTGCTCCGGCCGGGAGAGAGGCCTCTTCCCAGCTGTCTCTCCCTGCAGCAGCACCTAGGCTTGGGGGCGGGGCGCCCCCTGCCCCCCATATCAGCTGCAGGGCCGGGCCCACAGGATAGGCACCTCTCCCTGGCAAGGCCAGGGCTGGGTTCAGGCCTGGGCAAGGGCAGCTCAGGCTCAGCTGGGTTGGCGCAGGTTGGAGGCCGGGATAGATTGGGGCTCAGGGAAGGGTGTCTCTCCCCTGGCCATGGCAGGCCCCCGGGTGGGTTGTCTGAGGGCCCATGCGGCGCTAAGGAGGCTGCTGGGTGGCTGTGCGGCTATGCAGCTTGCAGGGAACTCGGGCTACTTGTCCTGTACTGTAAGTGTAAGTGCTGTTATTTGGAGGAAGAAAAATCTGTTGTTG